GAACGGTGTTGCTGTTGTTTACACGACATTTTGGGTCAAATTTATTTAAATCTTGAGAAATTTTGTATTTTTTTATTAACTCGATCTATAATGACCAATGACAAATTCGTACATAATAATCAAACAATCAAGTGTTGATTGGGTCAGAGTGATCACGTGGTCAGATTAAAACCTTGTTTGAGACAAGTTAAAACATCTATCATGGGTTTCCTCCAGCCTACTCGGCAATATATAGAATCAGCTACATATATTTATAGCAATGAGCATGTTATTATTTCTCTATTTGCCATTATGCACTGTACTAGCTAGCCCGACTTCACGCTGTTACWCATGTGTTATAACAGCGTTTCTAGGTTTTACTTGGAATCACTGGACGGTAAAGTTCCGTGACCGTGCCGTGACCCGTCACGTTGCATGCACAGTCATACTAAATCACTGTTATGATGTAAATAGTTTTTTATGTATATTATTTCTCTGTTCACTTTTTTCAATAGTCCTTTATGGCAGCTGGTTTGATCACGTGTTGGGATGGTGGGCTCATCGTGACGACTCCAACATTTTGATTCTAAAATATGAAGACATGAAAATGGTAAATATGTCATCATGTGATTGTTCAGCAAATCAATTTTGAATGTAATTCTCTTGTTGTAGAACTTGGTTGATACTATWAAAAAGATAGCAGAATTTCTTGGCAAGGAAATATCGCCAGACTTGGTGAACCGCATTGCTGACCAAACCACCTTTGCTGCTATGGCCGGTGAAAACAGCAAAGGCAGATAYTTTGATGATGAAGAAATCGAARCGAAATGGCGAGTACCTGGAGCTGTGAAGTTTATGCGCAAAGGAGAAATAGGAGACTGGCGAAACTACTTCACTGAGGAACAAAACAAACGATTTGATGACTTGTATGAAAAGAGAATGGCGGGAAGTGGACTGACATTCCCCCTCCCCCTCGCTGCTGCAAAGATATAATTTTTTGCAAAGATATGATTTTTTTAGTGGTTTTAAAATAATTAAAAAAAAATTCTCTCGATGGTATATACTCATCCTGAGAATTGCTTGTAGAGCGTAATTCTCTCTCTTACCAAACGTTTATGAGAGATGACATTCATAGCGGGTACATAGATGAGCTCACCATTTATTCAATTTACAGCAAATCGTTTTGATTTGACATCTATTTGCTTAGTTATTATTTCGTAAAAGCATCACAGTAGATTAGAGTGAGTGCACCTGCTTAGCGTGAAACACTAATTACTAAATTGTACAAAATAGTGCTAGTTGAACATGGTTGATGAACAAACGAAAAAAAGTCGTCCAGTTTTTCTTTGGTATCAACGATTTGTTCGAAGGCACACGATTGTGTATCGAACTGTGACAGTGGCTGTCTGTCCATCTTGGTAGATTTACCATGTTATCTCAGGGATACCCATGTTTTGCCTTGGCATGTGACAAAAGTACAACRATGACATTGATAGACCTTTTTACTAATGGGCCGCCATCTTGAATTTTAAAGAGATTATGGGATGTCAATGGCATATCATATAGAATCGCGCGTGCCGAAAGATTTCTTTCACTTCATTTCGGGTTTCAAAATTTAATTTATTCTATTAAGTTTTAAGTTTTATAGTAATTTCCGAGGTCACATCGGTGCGTGAAAAATACAAAGAAATGTAATGGAGAACTAAAAATGAGTTTACTYGCGCTCCCTAGGTCAACTAAGTCCTCCAAAACTGGCCAGTTAACTTCCCTTTATGGTATTGAATGTTTGAAATTAATGATTCTTTCAGAATGAATTGGAAGTAAACGGGAATTATTTGAGGTCGATTTCAAACTATATGGTTTGTGTTATTTTGCGAGACTTTGCCTACTCTTAAACATGGCGACCAAAACCGTCACTTGATCTATTTTTTCATTCATTGCTTGTAGTTTTTTTAAAGAAATGCTTCAACCCAAAACAATCATGACTCCATGGTAACACTCCGGCAAACTGAAAATAGCATCGTATTAAACATCATAAACATTCATTTTATTTCCATAGCTCATCCCAAAATCAAGTACATTATATAATAGGGTTAAATTAGGCTATAGAAATAAGTTGAATAAAACGGAAAGGTATATGATCGAATAAGAAAAAAACCCGCAGCACATGTAACTATTGCAGAGATACTCAAAAGAAATACTTTTAATTATCATTTATACAAACGCTGCAAGAATAACKTTACGCATTTTCGATTGTTGTACTATCACTTGGGATTGCTTCTATAAAGCCAAATACTTCTTGATACTTAGGCTAAAATKACATATTTTCCTTCTTTTATGTCAATTTTATATCTAACAAATCTAACACGAGGGGAAGATAGATTACAAAACTCGATTCATAATCGCGTATTTAAATTTTTTTTAAAATTAGTGGAGCTGCCGAGTTTGAGAGTGTTCAGATTAAGTAACAATGCGCTAAAGAACTAGGGAACTCTCTATTGTTCTGCGGCATAGCAAGTTCACCATGTACGAATGTCTTGGTTTTCACACTGATCATGTATCCATCTGTGGGTAACACATTTTTGAAATAAAATGTGGTTAAACAGGGACCGCGGAGCTGGATCTTGTTTGGGGGGGCTAGCGACGAGGAGGTWCTAGGGGGGTCGGAAATTTCTGAAATCTTAACTCTCGGAAATGCCATTTCCAGCATTTTGAGGCGTCCAAGACATATTTACCGCAGACACTGTCAGCAATATTATCAATAAAATCCCAAAGACTTCATAAGGAGGCTCTTGAAAATTAAAGATGTCGTAAATATTATTGGGGGGGCTGTAGCCCCCCAGCCCCCCCTGCTCCGCGGTCCCTGTTAAACTCTATTTTGAAACAAAGTTTCTTTTGTATTAAAGCTCTTATCCAATCATAAGCACTCAAAACAATAGCCAAAAGATGCTTCTAATTTGCAATGTTCCCCACATAGAATTGCCTTAATATTGAAGCTAAAGAAAGCTTTCATGAAAGCGAAAACAGACATTAAATAAAATATTAGAAAATTCGCTAACTTGTGAAATTATAGCAGATTTTCATGTTTTAACCAATGGGATGGATGGATTATACAATGCGCAATTAGCACCTTCTTGCATTCCTGTGCCGTTAGCTTCCCTAGTTCTTACTCGGGGCATTACTTAATAATACAGAGTTTCAAGCGTTTAAAACTCGAAAAAATTACAAAGAATGTATGGAGCACCTGATGGAGGTTTTGAGCAGCGTCCCAAAACACCATACATTCTCTCTTATTTTTACAATTTWAAAAAAAATTCCTACTCGGTGAATATTCAACCAAATATGCTCAAACAACCCTTATTTTAATGTGGTCTTTCATGTCGTGAGGTTTAGTTTTCGATATGAATGTTCACACTCGTTCCCAGTCTCCTTTTGAAAGTGGAGCAGGTTATTATTTTTGGAGGTCGGGGGATTGGGGCTGAGGGAACAACATGATTAAACCGAAAGTAAAATAATAATAAWAAAAAGATGATRAAGACGAAGAAACAGWAGAAAGATAGAAAGTGAAAAACAAAAAGAGGTTTATACACATCAATTCAACCCAAATTCCGTTTTTACAATGACATCAGTATTTCTATTTCGATTCCAACGTTGGCATTTCGTTCGACTTTTTTGGTGGTTCAATAGGGCAAGCAACGTACATTGAAAAACGCATATTTAAAAGCTTTTTGCGCAGACTTACAAGACTGACACCCGTGTCATGTTGGAATACATCATCAGTTAAAGCTCAGTTCTAGGCCACTCCCCGCCATTCTCTTTTCATACAAGTCATCAAAKCGTTTGTTTTGTTCTTCAGTGAAGTAGTTTYGCCAGTCTCCTACTTCTCCTTTGCGCAAAAATTTCACGGCTCCAGGTACTCGAAACTTCGCTTCGAATTCTTCATCATCGTAGAATCTGCCTTTTCTATTGTCAGCGGTCATAGCGGTAAAAGTTGTTTGTTCAGCGATGCGTTTCACCACGTCTTGCGATAATTCTTTTCCAAGAAACTTTGCTATTTGTTCTACTGCTTTAGTCAAGTTCTGCAAAAACGAAATCTTGATTATTTGTGTTGATTTAAATGCCATTGAATCGACTGAGAGTTTTTTTCTGATCATACATTTTCTTCACAAAGGAAATTTAAGTTAACGAAAGGGATAAAACCAATTTCTAGTTCTATTGCCTTGATGTCCTTAACTTCGGTGTAAAGGCTTTGTTTTAATGAGATAGTGTTCCTCTAAGTTGTAGAGACAAACTCGTACATTAAGAGCACCCTATCCCATGTAAACAGGKCTTGATTTCAATAAAGCACTAGCAGTCACTGGAAAAAATCGCGCGCTTTAAAGGTTGTAAATTTGATGTATATATRATGTAAGTGKCCAAAATGATGTAAATTTGATGGATATCCAGTGAGTAGCAATAGAAATGSCAGCCAGACRCAAACATACAGTCTACTACWAACCTTCTTCATGTCTTCAAATTTTAGAATCAAAATATTGGAGTCATCACRATGAGCCCACCATCCCAACACGTGATCGAACCAGCTGCCATACACGACTAATGAAAACCATCCATAATATAAGTAGATCATTAATCATAATCACTAATTAGAATTAGTATTTGACGTATAAGTTAATTGGTAATAGTCAGAGTGGTACATTTAGGTATRTCAGTAATTTTGAATACTATATTTTTGAACCCCATGCAGACAAAATTTTTTTTTTGAGGGTGTCTAGCTACCCTTCAAGGATCGATTTGGTTTTTGAGTACGTAATAATTTAGACAGTGTTTAGATGTTTTTAACAGTTTTAAAAGCCTTAAAAATCAATCAAACTTCGTGGGAACAGCTGGCTCAGGACCGACAAGGYGTGCCGTTAGCAACGGTGCCTCGTCATGCGAGTCCAATTGGACAGCTGTCGCCAAGGAACGTAGAGCCCCCAGTGCCCCAGGCTTTTCCGTGCGCAGATTGGCCTTATTAGCCATCTGCGTACGCATGAACATCAATAGTCCAGGTTTTTTAGGATGGTAAAAAAATTAATGATCTATACATAACAAGATGGTCTTCGTCGCAGCGACGGACAAAACAACGACAATTTAGAAACAGCARACTGGCATACCTTGATCAGTTATAAACATTTCAAAAAATTCATCCCATGATCTGCCCACAAATTCTAAAGGTTTGAAGCCTTCATAATGATAGTAATAGGACACTGCTACGTCTTTTGGGTTTCTTATCGTGTAGATGTACTTGGGTTTATCACCGGTACCATATCCCATGGGTACTTGATGATACGGCAGGTGAGACTTGAAAAAACGCGGCGAAGGATGATTCAGGAAAAACTCGTTAAGTTTTTCTTTTGTGTCGAAGAGGTTAGTGCATTCTTCCATGAAAGGCACGCGTTTATGGATTGGAGTGTAGTCTAAGAGTCCTTCATGGCAGATTTCCAGTGTTACCTCAGATACCCATGTTGTGCCTAAACAGATCATTATTCATATTATTCTGATGAACAAATTCTTTCCAGCACGCAACTGCCGTGTTTCATGTGGGACATGATTCTTTCGACCGATTTTCGCTTTGATTCGATGCGACCTTGCCTCCTTTGCATGTAACTGTACTCCGTGGGATTCCTGTGCTAGGTCAAAAAATCTGTCAGTATAGGAGTTCTACTAGGAAGGAAGAAACTAGATATCTCCTGAATTCAAGAAAAAGTGCTTGCCTGTAGAAAAAGGACATTTTCTTCCTTCTTATTAAATTCAATAGGAATATTTTTCAATTCCTAGGCAACTTCCASTTTTTGCTTGTATAGAGGCTTGTCATTAAAATAATCGCTTAAACTTTAGCAAATACAATATTAAAAATCAAGTCTTTGCAGTGACCAGTGGCCTACTAATAAATGCAATGTAGAAAAAGTAGGTTAATTAATAAGTTCAAATTACACAAATATTCACTGAAATGCAGATAAGCACTAAGTTCTCATTGTCCTCCCCTTACCTGATTTCGGGTAGGTATCAATGATTACATCTCGATCTGTTTGAACGGGAAGGTCTTTCAGGTATCCCAGCCATGTCTTTGACAATCCTGGAAAATGCAAAACGCCGTCGATCATCGGCAGTATTTCGGGATGTTGGTACTTTGTCTTTTTTGACATGATGGTAAAGACGRCAAAGAATGGCCTAGAAGTTGCTGTGAGCCCCCTSTGAGATAACATACAATATGCAWATTCATCGAGAYATRTCGAATTACTCATAGGAATCCACTCATGACGGGGAATAGGTGWTCATTTGTTTACAGTTGGTTCATGATAATAATATGAGTTACTTAAAACATGAAATGCTTATGCTATCCCATGTTCAAGCTGACGTGGTTTATAGCTCTCAAAAAGCCCTTTGACGTAACTAATTTCCCATTTCTTTTTGAATTAGATCTAAACTTTATGCTAATGTGCAAAGTTTTGTAAACAATGAGCATCCTACATCGGGTCACGAATCATGCTATTGCAAATCATGTCAAACTACACGCTCTGTGAGCGCTTACACGGATTTCCTAAGGACTGTTAAATGCGATTCTTTCTTTTCTTTCAACCTTTCTCTACGCATATGTATATATTCACCATACTTTTAGAGTTTCAGCTTTCAATACTAAAACGTAATGCATTCTGGGACGATCTCAAAAAAGGGGATCACCAAACCGTGACAAGCCGCCCAACATCTTATATTACCGAACTATTCAAATGGTCGTTATCTAAAAAATACCATAATAGATAAAAAGAGCTAATGTCTAACTAAAAGCAAACTATCAAGGTTATGTTATCATGATATCAAATAAACAAATTTATACTATGTATTTTAGGA